CCCCCTCGCCCCCGGAGAGAGTCGGGTGCGCGGGGTGAGGGACGCATGTGCCCTCCACACCTGGGGGGGGCAATATTACACCAATCAAGGTCCCCGTGCAAACAGAGGCGGCCGACGCGTCTGCCCGGTGGTGGTGGTGGTGGTGGTGGTGGCGGCGGTGGTGATGGCCAGCCTCGCAGGCTCTTTTCTCGGCGCCTTCGCCCCGCCTCCCCCCTCGGAGCATGGGCATGCCCCCCTTGGGCGGGGCCACCGCGTCGGCCCGCAGCCGGGCTGGGCGAGCGCGGAGGGGCCGAGGGGCCTGGGGGGGGCTTTCAACCGCTCGAAGGGCCCGAGCCGGGCTTCACAGGAGCAGCCCCTCTCCCCCGTGCAATGTGCGGGGGCGCTCGCGCGGGGAGGTTCGGCCCAGCATGCATCAGCCGCGGCGCCCGGAGAATGCCCGATTTGATACCCCCTGCTGCGCGGCAAGAGCTTTGGGGCCCCCGAGGGAAAGGGGCTCGCCGGCGCCTTGCAAGATCTTTGCCCGGCGGCCCGCCCAACATGAGAGGGCGATGCCCTCTCGCAAGGTTGCCCGCGCGCGCGCGCGCGCGCGTGTGTGTATTTATCCCCGAGAGGTCTCCCCTCCACGGTCAGGGGAGCCAACGTGCCTTGGGGGGCGGGGGGGTTGCGTGCCGGCCGCCATCAACATCCCGGCACGCGGGGGCGCTCGGTCGGGCCGGGCGCCGTGTCCGCCGGCGCGACCGAGGGTGCCCCGATTCCGGGCCTCGAACATGCCCGCGGTGCCCCAGGGGCTTGTGCGTGCGCTGCCCGCTTCCTGCGTGTCTCTTTCTCCCTCTCTCCCTCTCTTGTGCCTCTCGCAAGGCATTCCTCCCCGGGGGCGGTGGGCGCCGTCCGCCCGCCCTCCCCCCCTCCCTTCTGGCCAGACCACCGAGGACCGTGTGCGTGTATCTTGGAGGCCTTGATCCCGAGGACGCCGGGGTCGTGGCTTTGTACTCGACCGCCTGGCCCCCCGCGCCCAGCCCCCTCCCCCCCCGGAGGACGGGATGCCTTCCGGCCCGCACACACAATGGCCCGTAGATGAGCCCCTTCGCGGGGGTGTGGGGAAAAAACCGGCAGACCATCAGCCCCCCCCCCCCGGGGCAGGGCAGCTGGCACATCTCACACAGCGTGCGCCGGTATCCCCCCCCCCCCTCCCGCCCGCCCACCGGTGCAGGCGCGTACCCGTGTAGCGCGCCGTTCGCGGCCCGGGGGCAGGGAGGCGGGTCTCTCAGGCTGGGGAGGGGGGCGGCGGCAGCGGGGCATTTTGCGCGGCGGTGGTGCGGGCGGAGGTGTTCTTTGTTTGTATCACAGCCTGCCGGCCAGTGCCCAGCTTTGGCGAGCTGGCCGTCTCGGCGCCCGGGCGTGCGCGCACCCCACATTGGCCCTCTCGCGCCGGCGGTGAAAACGCGTCATATCGCCAGTGAGCTCCCTGTCGATGGCTGGCGAAAGGCCCCCCCCCCCCCGGGTACCACCAGTGCGGCAGGCCTCCGGGAGCGTGGCCGGCTTTTCGGCCGCCCCGGTGCGTGTGAGCCCCCCCCCCCCCCCAACGGGGGGAGGTAGTGTGAGGGCCGTCTGATGCGCCGAGCGAACGCCGAGGGTATGCTTGCGGCAGCGCCCGGCGCAGTCCGGCAATTTATGGCCCCCGCCCGTGTGCGCCAGACACATGTGCGGGCGGGGGCCGAGTCGCTGGGACGGCAGCGCCTCCCCGGCCGCCTCCCCCCCCCCCCCGGCCTCTCTCCGGCAGCCACCCCTGGGTGGGCATTTTTTCAGGTACCCCATCGGGTAAGGCCCTTGGCCTTTGGGGCGAACCTTCCCCTGCGAGCTGGGGAGGGTGCGGGGGCAGGCACGCGCAAGCACAGACCTGTCCCTCCCCCTGCCCCTCCGCCGGGGGGGGGGGGGAACGGCTAGCGGCTTCCCCCCCGCGCACCCACACAATAATAAACTTGAGGCCCTCACGCAACCCCCGAGGGCGCGTGTCTGTGTGTGCGCATTCACCCCGCCGCGTCTGCGTCTCGGCCGTTCACCTTCTCGAGCGAGCAATGGACCGACGCGGTACATGGGGAGCCGAGGCCGTCAAACACCGGCGGGAGCCTGCGCAGTCGGTGGTCAAGCGCCGGCACGCCGCCCCGCCTACGGGGAGCGGGGGGGGGG